GTGTGTGTGTGTGTGTGTGTGTGTGTGTGTGTGTGTGTGTGTGTGTGTTCTGGTTGGTTTGGTTTGGTTTTTTTGGTGGTCATGGGGTTTGAACTCTGGGCCTGGGTGCTAGCACTCTACCACTTGGGCCACAGTGCCACTTCTGGTTTTCTGGTTGTTAATTGGAGATGAGAGTCTCACAGACTTTTCTGCCTGGACTGGCTTTGAACCACAGTCCTCAGATCTCAGCCTCCTGTGTAGGTAGGATTACAGGCATGAGTCACCAGCACCCAGCTTCATGAGTGTTTTTTAAAAGAGAATATGTTGGGTGCTGCATAGGGAATGCACCGGAGTAAAATTGGAAGTGACAGGATGGGGGAGGGACACCTTGCTTGATCTAGGCTAGGTTGGTGACAAAAATGACACACACTGATTGATGTCTAGTAGTTGTGGAGGTAGAGTGGCAACATGGGTTCTGTGATGGGAACTGGATCACAAGAGAAAAGGAAAACTCAAGGGTGACCTGGGCATTGATGGCAAGCCTGCATAAACCAAAATGTCTGTGAGAAAACCAACCTTGAAATCAGAATCAAAGAGTTCATTAACAAACTTGATAGTTGCTCACATAAAAATAACACTTCAAATCATAGAAATGAACCTAGAATCATCCACTTTCTCATCCAATAATACAGAGATTAGGTAACAGTGAAAGAGTCTACAAAGGAGAGCAAGAAGGAGTAGCAGAGAGGTGGCAAGCAGGAGATGGAGACAGGGGGTGCTCCTGAGAAGTCATTTGCACCCCGGGCTTATTGAGACACTGGGGTGATCAGTTGGTGCCCTTGGCAAAACAATTCTGGGGGTTATAGCCATGAAAGCCAGTTTGGAAAGATTAAAGAAAGAATGGGAAATGTTTAAGCTCTGCAAACATGGAGAGTACTAGAAAAATTCCTTTGTCCAGTCAGTCTGATGGTAGAGACTTAGATAAAGTTTACTAAAGCATGGAGCTCCACATGGAGCCACATGGTGTGGGTATTTTTTGTCAGCTTTATGAATAGGGGAGGGGGTTACAAGGTCTCTCTGTGTAGACTAGGCTGGTCTTAAACTGCTGCCTCCTCAGCCTCCCAAGTTCTGGGATTACAGGTATGTACCAACTTGCCCAGCCTTATTAGTTTTTGAAGGAAGTAATTTCTTTCATAGCTTCTTATTGTGGCCTGCTTATTCCATGTTGATTTTATCATTTGTATTTATTCCCCAACCCTAGATGAAAATTGAACTAAAGCAGACCCAGGAGAAATTACTAGACAGCACAAAGATGTATTCTTCACTTACAGCAGAGTGGAAGCAATGTCAGCAGAAAATCAAGGAGCTGGAGCTGGATGGGCTTAAGCAGGCTCAGAGCATTAAATCACAGAGCAATCTGCAGGAGAAGCTGGCTCAGGAGAAGCTGCAAGCTGCCGAGGCACAGGAAAGGGTGATTATTCTCACACTTACTACCTAGCACACACTCATTACCACCACAGAAACCCTTTTCCTTAAGGATTTTAAGAACTAGAAAATGGCACAAATCTGGCAGAATTCTAATATTTTATTTTCCCTCCTTTGTTTTCCTTTTGTTATTTTACCAGCTTTTATAATTCCAGTAAATCTCATGTTTAAAACTTACATGGCATACAAGTTATCTTGATCATATTCACCTCCGCTGTCACTCTTTTCCCCTGCCTCCTGGTTCCCAAATCTATCTGTCTGTCTGTCTGTCTGTCTGTCTGTCTATCTATCTATCTATCTAATCTATCTATCTATCATCTACCTATATTTTTCTTTCTTTCCCTCCCTCCCTCTCTCCCTCCCTTCCTTCCTTCCTTCCTTCCGTCCTTCCTCTTGTACCAGGTCTCGAAAACTCAAAGATCTCATGCTCTCACTTGGCTTGTTTGCTCACTGATGGTACTGTACCAATTGAATCATGCCTCTGGTCTAGTATTTTGCTGATTAGTTGGAAATAGCATCTCATGAACTTTCCTCCCAGGCTGGTTCTGAATCTTTCTTAGTCTTCCAGGGGTCAGCCTCCTGAGTAGCTAGGATTTCAGAAGTGAACTACCCTTGCCAGGCCCAAACTACTTTCAAGAAGCTTCACACATGTGCATAAAGTATGTTGACTATATTCACATTCCTTCACTTTCACATTTTTTTTTTGGGTCCGGTTGTGGGGCCTGAACTCTGAGCCTGGGCGCTGTCCCTCAGCTCTTCAGCTCAAGGCTAGCACTCTACCACTTGAGCCACAGCGCCACTTCCAGCTTTTTTTTTTTCTTTTTTTGCTTATGTGGTGCTGAGGAATCAAACCCAGGGCCTCATGCATGGAAAGCAAGAGCTCTACCACTGAGCCATCTTCCCAGCCCCTTCACTTTCACATTTTAAATGGTTTATTTTCCTTTGATCTATATTAGCTGATAATGTCATTTTTATTTTGTAATTCTTACAGGGATTTTTGTTGTGAAATGAATGAAACATTTTCAAACATTACCCCTGCATTTTAGATAGTCTAACACTAGGTGGCAGTAGTGCACAGCTGCACTCTATCTATCTATCTATCTATCTATCTATCTATCTATCTATCTATCTATCTATCTATCTATTATTTTTGCCAGTCCTGAGGCTTGAACTCTGGGCCTGGGCACTGTCCCTGAGCTCCCTTTGCCCAAGGTTATCACTCTATCACTTCAGCCATAGCTCCACTTCTAGCTTTTTCTTGATTGAATTGGAGATAAGGGTCTCACAGGCTTTACTGCACTGACTAGCTTTGAACCATGATCCTCAGATCTCAGCCTCCTGAGTAGCTATGATTACAGGTACAAGCCATTGGTGCCCAGCTCAACTACACATTTTGATGTGCAGCTTTGTATGAGTCTAAGCTAAAGCAGTCATTAGGCTGGGAATGTGGCTTAGTGGTAGAGTGCTTGCCTAGCATGCATGAAGCCCTGGGTTTGATTCACCAGTACCACATACACAGAAAAAGCCAGAAGTGGCACTGTGGCTCAAGGGATAAGTGCTCAAGGCCAGTGCTCAGGCCCTGAGTTCAAGCCCCAGGACTGGCAAAAGCAAAAACAAAACAAAAAACCCAAGATGACAGACCTGGCATGGTGGCTCATGCCTATATTTCCAACTATTCAGAAGGCAAAGATAGGAAGACTATGATTTGGGCACACCTTCCACCATTGACAAGTTAGTGAGATCCCCTCTCAGCAAACTAGTTAGGCATTGTGGTTGACAACTGTCATTCCAGCTACATAGGAAGCATAAATTGGAAGAAGTCCAGGGCAGACCAGCCAGACTTTATTTAAGGAATAACAGAAGCAGAAAAAAGTTGTGGGCCCAAGTAGTAGAGTACCTGCCTGGCAAGAATCAGGCCCTGAGTTCAGCCCCAGTACCCCTGAAAAAATAAGATGAACTATAATCTAAAGTAGACTCAAAAAAGTTGATGTTGAATTAAAGAAGCCATCACATAGAAGCCTAGGATTCTATTTATGAGGTTGAACAATGGATTGTACTAAGCTATGGAGATGAGATAGTATCTTTATGAGCTGTATTAGCTAGAATTTGCCTTAGAAAATCACACTTATTCTACAGATATTGTAAAACTATTAGACTAGAATGTCTTTCGGTAGGTGCCGGTCATATCCTTACAGTAGAATGGTACTTGCAGCTGTAGTAAAGAAGACAATTTATGCATACATACAAGGAAAATCACTAAATGCATTGTTTAAAAACAAAAAGCCAAGTGTAGCCAGGCACAGGGAGTTCACACTTCAAACACTAGCTACTCAGGAAGCTGAGATCTGAGGATCTTGATTCAAAACCAGACCAGGCAGGAAAATCCATGAAACTATTATCTCTAGTTACCCACAAAAAAAAGCCAGAACCAGAAGTGGAGCTGTGGTTCAAGTGGTAGAATAGTAGCTTTGAGCAAAAAAGTCAAGGACAAGCCCAGGCCCTGAGTTCAGGCTTCAGAACACACACACACACACACACACACACACACACAAAGAGGCATAAACTTATTGTAGTACGTCACTGTATAGAATGTTTGTACATGTGAAAAATAGCTATCTGTGATCTGTTTATGAATCTCTGGAAGTATACCAGTGGATACTTATTTGCTGGAGGAAAACCGAGATAGTAATGAGAAAGATTCTCTTGATTTTATAACTTACTTTATGTATACATATTGAATTCTATAAATATACCCCATATGGCAAATAAGTAATTTATTTTACAGTTACATCTTGCCACACTCCTTCCTTAGGATCAGATTTGTATGTTAGCACTGCTGTCATTGATATCTACATGCTGTTCCCCTAAATTGAAGAAGAAAAAAAGAAAAGGTCACACTCTTCCTAACATCTGACTTGTAAACTTTTTCATTCAAGATTTTGGACTTGCAGCAGAAGTTAGAGCATGCTCAGCAAGCCTATCTCTCAGACACTTGTATTTTGAAGAAGGAATTAGAGGAAAAGATGAAAGAAACCATACAAAATGAAGCCAAGTTGCAGCAGCAGTATCAGGAAGAACAGCAGAGGAGGTAAGAGGAGCAGAGAGCTGCGTCTCCTGCGGTCTCACCAGGCTTGTGCCTATCAGCTCAGAAGTAAGCTCACATTCGTCACACCATTCTGACTGATTATTGTCCTCTTTGCCTCTGGAACCGGACTGTGGGATTCCTAAAGGCAGACACTATTTGTCTCTATTCTGGGACCTACTGGTAGTACACTGGTAACTTCTTGAATGGCCAGATTACCTGTAAAATCCGATAGTCTGGGATTTGTTTTTTTGTGTGACAATACAAGGGGTTCAACTCAGTACCTAATGCTTATTAGGTAAGCATTTTACCCCACACCCCAGCCCTTTTTGTTTTTAGTTTGCTTTTAGATAGGATCACAAGTTTTTCACCCAGGCCAACTTCCAAGTACCAGGACTGCCCAGAAACTTTCAGCTGTAGTTGAAAGTTCTAGCATAGGACTTAACATTCAATAGCCAAACATTTATTGGCTGAATGGGTATTTGAGTGAGTGTTGTGAATAATGAATTCACTTAGTGAGGTGCTGTGGAGATGACTCACCTCGACCACCATGCCTAACAAGATGTCAGGCTATCCTAACTTGTAACAATCAGAGAAATCTACAAGAGCAGATGTACAAGATGTTAAAATAAAATTGGTGAATGAGCTGGGTGCCAGTGGCTCACGCCTCTAATCCTCGCCAGTCCAGGCAGGAAAGTCTGTGAGACTTATCTCCAATTAGCCACCAGCAAACTGAAAGTGGCACTGTGGTTCAAGTGGTAAAGCGCTAGCCTTGAGCTGAATAGCTGAGGAGCAGCACCCAGGCCCAGAGTTCAAGCCCCATGACCAACATACACACACGCACACAAATGGTGAATGATGCCCAAGCTGCCAAGCAAAGGAGAATATAACCATCTGGATTCAGAAAAAGTTGAGGAGACTTGCCACAAGGTAAACTGATCATATCCAAATAATCTCTGGAAGAGGGCTGGGAAGGTGGCTCAGTGGTAGAGTGCTTGCCTTGCATGCCTGAGGCCCTGGGTTCGATTCCTCAGTACCACATAAGCAAAATAATAATAATAATCTCTGGAAGAAAGCAACCCGATTAGGGATGCCCATATAATAGGTTTAATAAAATATGAGCTTGCATTAACATTGCCAAACATTGGCTAGTATGAATGAAAGTAAAAGGAACTAGAAGCACCATATTTATTGTCCCAATAGTCTTAGCAACTGGAGTCATGAAGGATTGGTTAGGAAATACCTGTGTGAAACTTTAAAAGTAAATAAATAAAATTATTAAAACAGTGAAAAAGGATATTTAACTTTTCTGAAACTTGGTCTTCGTATCTCTAAAGTTGGAGTGCCTATTTTCTGAGGGTTTTTTGAGAAGAAATACATAAAATCAATTGTGAAACTACATGTAGGAGAAAGAATAGGCTTCCACCGGGCTGGGAATGTGGCTTAGTGGTAGAGTGCTAGCATGCATGAAGCCCTGGGTTCCATTCCTCACTACCACATAAACAGAAAAAGCAGGACATGGTGCTGTGGTTCAAGTGGTAGAGTACTATCTGTGGTGCAGGTGGTAGAGTGCTAGTCTTCAGCAAAAGAAGCTCAGAAACAGTGCCCAGGCCCTCAGTTCAAGCTTCAGGACTGGCCAAAAAAAAAAATGTTTCCACTGAGAGGAGACTACACAGTACAGATTGTTTTATAACTTGGGAGAAAGTAGCCTCAGGGTATAGGGGAAAAAGTTATCTTATCAATATACTTGATGGTTGAAATTCTCTTTATAATAGTTGAAATAATTTCTGATATATTCATGTTCTACTCTTTTAATTTTGTGTTTTTGTTTTTGTCAGTTGTGGGGCTTAAACTCTAGACCTGGGTGTTGTCCCTCAGTACTTCAGCTCAAGGCCCTAGCCTAGTTTTTCTGGTGGTTTATTGGAGATAAGAGTCTCACAGAGGGGCTGGGAAGGTGGCTCAGTGGTAGAGTGCATGCCTAGCAAGCATGAGGCCCTGGGTTCAATTCCTCAGCACCATATAAGCAGAAAAATCTGGAAGTGGTGCTGTGGCTCAAGTGGTAGAGTGCTAGCCTTGAGCTGAAGAGCAGAAGGACAGCACCCAGGCCCAGAGTTCAGGCCCCACGACCAGCAAAAAAAAGAAAGAAACAAAAAAAAAGAGTCTCACAGACTATCCTGCCCAGGCTGGCTTTGAACCGTGATCCTCAGCTCTCAGCCTCCTGAGTGGCTAGGATTATAGGTGTGAGCCACTGGTTGCCGGCACTCTTTTAATTTTGACTTCCTATTTTTTTAGTTTTCAAATCCTTGATTTTATGTCAGGGATGGAGGTGGGGGGAGTACTGGGGCTTGAACTCAGGACCTAGACGCTGTTCCCAAGTTTTTCACTCAAGGCTAGTGCTCTACCACTTGAGCCACAGTTCCACTTCTGGCCTTGGGGGAGGGGGAATTAGTTAGAGAGCTGGCTTTCCTGCCCAGGCTGGCTTAGATTTTTTTTAGTACAGAAAAGTCATTTTTTTTTTAAATGTCAGCAGACTAATACTTCCCTTTCAGTTTCAAGGTTTATCTCTTTATCCCTTGATCCGAAATTGAGAATGGAGGTTCAAGGTGCATCTCCTTCAGTACAGAGAGGTTTCTTGGTTTGAAACCCTCAGAAATTCTTTCCAGAAACTAATCCAATGTGACTCTGTGCAAGAATGAAGTGCTAATGACACTCTTTTGGCAGAGGAAGCATTTCCTCACCAAATTCAGGCTTGTAGCAGCGCTGATGTGTACATTAGTATCAGCAGTGATTGTAATTCAGGAGCCTATGTTGAGCCCTGAAGATGCGGGGCTCACCTCATAAGGTACTGAGGAAGAAGGTGGGAGTGGGATTCGGGACGCAAGCCCTCGTCAGCCTGTGCTGGCTGCTCTGTGCCATATCTTCCTCGTCTCTGAAGTAAGGAAAAATGTTTCTTGCTCCTGGGTTGTGTGGATGGTGAGAGAATTTTAAAAAGCGACTATCACAAAGATGGCCTCTGTGTCAGTTCTTTTATCTTACCTTGTACTCTACTTTGCTGAATGCCCCTCCCCCCAAAAAAAATCCTCTGTGGAAGCCTAATAATCTTAGATTTCATTAGCAAAGTGTGGAAATAAACACACAGAGTGATTTAATGTGAATCATTTTCCTCAGGATACTCCTGGATCAGAATGTGAATGAGCTACAAAAACAAGTAAAAACCCTACAGAACAAAGAGAACCAATTGGAATTGACCAGTTCTCAGCAACAAGCAGCTGTCCTTAAACAACTAGAAGAGACAAAAAGAGAATATGAACAAGTAAGCATGCAAATAAATATGCTTGACAGTTTTCCTATTCCCATAGACCTGAATAATAACCAAGGCCTCATTGTACCCAGGAGGTTGAGAAGTTCTATCAAGAAAGCAGAATCAAGCCGGGCGCTGGTAGCTCACGCCTGTAATCCTAGCTACTCAGGAAGCTGAGATCTGAGAATCGCAGTTCAAAGCCAGCCCGGGCAGGAGAGACCGTGAGACTCCTATCTCCAATAAACCACCAGAAAACCGGAAGTGGCGCTGTAGCTCAAGTGGTAGAGTGCTCGCCTTGAGCTAAAGAGCTAAAGGACAGCGCCCAGGCCCAGAGTTCAAGCCCCACGACCGACAAAAAAAAAAAGAAAAGAAAAAGAAAAAGAAAGCAGAATCTAGTGGCTCATGCCTGTAATCCTAGCTACTCAGGAGGCTAAGATCTGAGGATTGCAGTTCAAAGCCAGCCTGGGCACGAAAGTCTGTAAGATTCTTATCTCAATTAGTCACTAAATAACTAGAAGTGGAACTATAGCTCAAACAGCTAGAGCACTAGCCTTGGGCAAAAGAGCTCAGGGACAGCACCCAAACCCTGAGTTCAAGCCCCACAACCAACAAAAAAAAAATTAGAATCAAGAGTTTGGAGGCTTAGCTCAGGTAGTAGAGCACCAGCCAATGAGTCAAAGAGTCAGATATCAATTTTAAGTCATGATCTTAGAAAGAAAAAAAAACAGAAAGCAGAATCTACTTTGGTTGGGCTACAAATAAAATTGACACAAAACATATTAACAGGAGAAAACCCCATTTTGCCTCACAAAGTATGAAACTCAAGAAGGGTCATGGGGCTGGGAATGTGGCTTAGTGGTAGAGTGCATGCCTAGCATACATGAAGCCCTGGGTTCAATTCCTCAGTACCACATAAACAGAAAAAGCCGAAAGTGGTGCTGTGGCTCAAGTGGTAGAGTGCTAGCCTTGAGCAAAAGAAGCTTAGGGCCGGGCACTGGTGGCTTACACCTGTAATCATAGCTACTCAGGAGGCTGAGATCTGAGGATCATGGTTCAAAGCTAGTCAGTGCAGACCCTTATCTCCAATTCAATCAAGAAAAAGCTAGAAGTGGCACTGTGGCTCAAGTAGTAGAGTGCTAGCCTTGAGCTGAAGAGCTGAGGGACAGCGCCCAAGCCCAGAGTTCAAGCCCCACGACAGACCAAAAAAAAAAAAAAAAAAAAGGAGCTCAGGGACAGTGCCCAGGCTCCTGAAAGCCCCAGGACTGGCAAAAAAAAAAAAAAAGGTTGGGGGGAGGGGGAGGGGACATGTGGCTGAAGTATGTGTAGCATCCTCAGCTACAGAAATGAAGAGCGCATTGGGACATAAAGGGGACACATTATGGAAGACTGTTGTGGCTGAAGGATGTCTTATATGTGAATTAAAATCTCTCCAATGATTAAAATTGTCTGGAGCAGCCCTCTTCCTGACACAGATACTACTGACCTAGATTTTCTGTCTAGATGTAAATTTCTTTTACAAAAGGACAGCTTTTGATAGCTACACCAGTATCTGTGGTTTCTCAGAATAACTAGCTTGCACTGTGCTAAAGAAGTATATTTTGGAATGGTATATTCTGGTCTACAGCCATATTTGGGGTGGTGTGCCTGACATCCATGCAAGCAAGAAGAGAGTTAGTATGTGGGAAAAGATGCTTGGGAAACTGTTGGTGAGGAAGACAAGGGGAGATGAGAAGGTTAGAGGAGCTGCAGTTGGTTTTCAATAAATGCAGAAGTTAGGAAACTACAGGGAAGCCACTTCCTACAGCACCCAAGTGGGGAATCTTCAGGAACTCTCCCTGAAGCCCCTTCGGTTGTCTCACCTCTGTCTGCCCATTCTTCTAGCTGCTAACATTAGAGAACAAAGCCTCCTTTGTCTTTCTAGGCTAGCGCCACTCTTACAACTTCACTTCTGTCGCTCAGATGTATGGGGTTTTCTTTTCCCATGCTAAACAATTCTCTTAATTCCATGTGGACCCCATGGTGTGAACACATTTAACTCAATCTGACACTACTTTCTGGGAGATGGCATTGGATCCTACAAGGTAAGGGCTCAGACCTACAAGACCTCCCCCATTTCCCCATGCCAATTACCAGTATGAGTTTACCTCTATGTTCCAAGTCTGAGTCTACTACAACCCTCTGTTGAATCTGATCATTTGTTAGAAAGGCTCATGAAACTCAGGTTACTGAGTTATTATAAAAGAATACAATGCAGAAACAGTAAGATAAAGAAGATGTGTAGGGAAAGTGTGAGGGAAGGGACATGGCACCCCCATGACCTCTCTGGACACACCACCCTTTCTCTACCTCTAAGTACATGTTCAGCAACCCAGAACCTTTCCTGATACAACTATAAGTGAAAAAAAAAAAAAGATAGAAAAAGAATTTGTGTAAAATACTCAAACCACAAATGGTGGAAAAATGTGGAAGACAAAGCAAAGAACAAAGAACAAGGGCAAGTAGTAGAAAAACATAACAAATCTAGTAAATACTATTCTAGTCATACCAATTACCCCTTTAGATGGCATTGATCTAAATGTACCAACTAAAGGCAATGCCAGAGTTGATCAGAAAACCAGATCCCTGACTCAGGATGTAGCTTAGTGTGACAGAGCAATTGTGTAGCATGCCAAAGATACAAGAAAACATGAAAAAGGAAAAACAGCCTACTTAATACAAATATACATATAAATGAAGAGTAAATGGATAAAGATATAACATGCTAAAAAAGGTAATCAAAATAAAGTGGGAGTTGTTAGGTTAATTTCAGACAGCAAACTTCAGAATAAGGTAGAGTAATATTATGTAATGACAAAAGGGTTACTGGGCACTAGTGGCCTGTAATCCTAACTACTCAGCAGCCAGGCATCTGGAAGGTCAATGTTGGAGGCCAGTCCAAGCAGAAAAGTCTGTGAGACTCTGTGTCCAAAACAACTAGCAAAATGCAGGGCTAGATGTAAAAGAGTGCCAGCCACGCCAATTGAGCAAGTATGAGGCCCAGCAATGAAGAAAAAATAAAGGTCAATTCTTCAGGAAGATACAACAATCTTTAATTTGTTTTTGTTTTCAAACAAAGCCTCAAAATATGTAGAGACAACTGGGTATGACACATGCCTGTGATCCCAGCAGAGATGACAAGGTTATAGAAAAAAGTGGATATTTATGATCAGCTCTGCTTTATAAAATCTAGCTTTTGCTTCAATAAGTCTCCTCTGTTTTCTTTTATAAAGAACTTGATAAAAATCCAACATCCTTTCATGATAAAAACTCCATAAACTTGTACTTCTACATGATATGCCCTTGGGGGATTGCAACTCAGAACAATTCCCCACCCATTCCCCCACCCATTTGCACTGCCAAATTCCACAACATTGACTTCATTTAATTCCAGCCGGGATGTAAACCTAAAGTATCTGCCCTTGCTGACGGTAAGGAAAAATGATGCACTCACTTTGGAAAACAGCTCAATGGTCTGCATACATATCTATACACATATACTCTTACTACATGACCAAATCATCATGTTCCTTGGATTTTAACCAAACCCTGAACATGGATGTGTATAGCATATTTGTTTATAATTACCAAAACTGAAAACAATCAAAATATCTTCCTTTGGGCATCATTAAAACTTGGAGCCTTGAAGATGGCTTGAGAGATGAAGGAGCAAATGCATATACAGATTCAAGGGGCACTGCTAAGCACTTGGCCTTTTCTACTATCAATACCCTTCACTCCTCAGGTCCAAAAGCCAATGAGGACCTATTCCAGACAGTCTGTTGTAACAGTAGGGAAATAATATGGGAGAGATTTACAAAACCACTAGGCCTACTGTAAAATGTATGCTAAACCACTGAATTGCTGAAGATCATATTTTACTTATTTTTACAGTGGTTGCTTTTGCCTGAAATCCTAATTATCCCAGGGGCTAGATTCTGAGGATCGTGGTTCCAGTTAGGCTAGGTGGGAAAGTCCATGAGACTCTTACCTCCAATTAACAAGGAAAAAGCCTAAAGTGGAGCTGTAGCTCAAATGATAGGACACAAGATTTGGGGGAAAAAAAAACCAGGGAGTGCCCAGGCCCTGAGTTCAAGCCCTGAGTACACACACACACACACACACACACACACACACAATCTATAGATCTCTTGTGGGAAGTATAAAGGAGAACCACATACTGTAATAGTGGTACAGATGTCACTTGGCATTCCCAACATTCAAAGGGCTCTGGGTCTATGAACTACCTCAGATTTAGGGACAGATCAAGAAAAGGCCATTACTCTTTATCCATATCACCAAAGTTCTGTTCACCAGAACCAAGAACATTTGTTTGTTCATTCATTTATTTTAAAACATAACTTAATCCCAGCCTGATGCTATACCTGTACAATCCTAGCACTTAGGAAGCTGATCCCAAAGATCATTAGTTATAGACTAGCCTGGTCTATAGTGAGACCTTGTCTCAAAAAACAAACAAAACAATATACAACTCAGAATCTGTTGGCTGCCCATCTATCATTGTTGACAGTTAACCACAAACAGACTGCTAGCATCAAACTAGTTGACTGTATTCCTGGCCCTATTAACTGTTAGTAATTAGTATCAGTGCCCACTTCTTATCTAAGATTTGAGTACTGCCATTTGACCTCTGACATTCTGTAATCCATCAGCTCTATTAAAATCAGGGAGCTGTGCCAGAGTTGGCACCTAAGCCCTCCTTCGCAGCATGTTAGCACTAAGAGCATCTTAAGTAATCCAGTGCTGCCTTACCAGTATAAAACTGTGATACAGTGGCCACTGTGTTCTTCTGGAACCACTTAGTTATGAGGAAAGTCAACAAGTCATCCATGGCAAATTCACTCCAAATTTCCTGTCTGCTTAAGACTTCAGTTTTCTTCCTCTCCCTTATGGAAAAAAAAAAGTATGACATCTTAAATATGACAAAGAAACAAAGGCCCTCGTCTTAATTTGTT